CACCTGCTGCAGGACCACTTGCTGGAAGCCCACCTGTGTGACCAGCTGCAGCAGCACACCCTGCTGCCAGCCCTCCTGCTGTGTGTCCAGCTGCTGCCAGCCTTGCTGCCGCCCAACATGCTGTCAAAACACCTGCTGCAGGACCACTTGCTGCCAGCCCCTCTGTGTGACATGCTGCAGCCAGCCCACCTGTGTCACCAGCTGCTGCCAGCCTTCCTGCTGCGGGTCCAGCTGCTGTGGCCAAACCAGCTGTGGGTCCAGCTGTGGCCAGACCAGTTCCTGTGCACCTGTGTACTGCACGAGAACCTGCTACCACCCCACGTGTGTCTGCCTGCCTGGTTGCCTGAACCAGAGCTGTGGATCCAGCTGCTGCCAGCCTTGCTGCTGCCCAGCCTGCTGTGAGACCACCTGCTGCAGGAACACCTGCTGCCAGCCCACCTGTGTGTCCAGCTGCTGCCAGCCTTGCTGCTGCTGATCAGCCCTGCCAAGGACCATCATCCTTACACAACAACTTTCTGACTCTTTTTTCTGAGACAGAGTCTCACTCTGTCACCCAGGCTGGATAAGCATGATCCTGGTTCACTGTAACCTCTGCCTCCCAGGTTCAACCAATTCTCCTGCCTCAGCCTCCCAACTAGCTGGGATTACAGGCCTGTTCCACTAGGCCTGGCTAATTTTTTTGCTTTTAGTAGAGATGGTGTATCACCATGTTGATCAGGCTGGTCTCAAACACCTGACCTCAAGTGATCCACCCACCTCAACCCCCCAAAATATTGGGATTACAGGAGTGAGCCACCCTGCCCAGCCCCAACTGACTTATCTTTCAGGGTTCGAACTTATTTTAAACACAGTATGCTCTCACGAATTTATTTTTTTAATGTTTCTGCATGTTTAAAATCTTGTGAATCAGCTTGAGAGAGAGCAGAGTACTTCATCCTGATTCTCTTTCTCCTTACACTTTGGGGATCATGGGCCAGCTTCTTGTGCCCTCAGGTTGGAGTCATGGTCTCAGCCTTGACTCTAAAATCAAAAGCTTCACTTGCTACTTCTCAGAAATTTAGGTTTCTGCAACTGATCCATATCTTTGCATTCAGATTCTCATTTTCAATTTCCTCCTCATGATTTTTTACCCTTCTTCCTTCTTTTTATGATAACTCTCGGCTACAACCCTCATAGCACAGATTCTTATCTGTATGTTTCTAAATAAATTCTGAACCATCCTCCATCTCATATGGTGTTTTGTTTTATTCTACAGAATTGCTGAAAAGGAATTTACACACACATTGCATGCTATACGTATTATCCAATTTGATTCTGACAACAGATGGTCATGTGTTATTCCCTCAGTTTTTCAGCTGAGAACAATTTATTGTGTGATTTGATGTAGCTAAAAAAGGACAGACTTGGGTCCAGGTGCGATCTTCTCTTTCTGCCTGAGACACTCCTATTTAACTCTCAGTAAAATAGAAATGATATTGGGATTCAGTAAGAGCAAGACATGCTCTGAGTTTATTGAACATGGGCGGTATAATCTCTCATATATGCAGACACCAACAGTTCTGTTCACAAAGGTCTTCCCACATTAGTTTTCCACACCTCAGTGAGCAATAGCTACATGGTATGAAAACAGGGACTGCATTTATATGAAAACAGGGACTGCATTTAATAGCTCCCCTGAATGTGGATCTCTTTTCCTCTCTGCCTCTGACCAGCTATTTTTTCAATTAATCTGCATCAAACATTTGTGAGAATGCATGGTGTCCCATGAAAGAGAGTCTGATCTGAGAATTTATATCATGTAAATAATATTCTTATACGGCTTCTTTTTCCTGAATACCTGTTGACAAAGCAAAATGAAATTATTTCCTCTTAAATATGGACAATACATTAAGCTTATTAAGTCAAATTGTCCCTCAAATCAAATAGTTATTAGGAAAATTATGTAAAACAAGTTTAGGGATTTAGGGACTATCTAGTGGGCATGTAAGGCTATGCACAACCCATAATCTCTGTGCTGACTAAACAGAGAAAACAACCTTGTGTGTTTTGTGAGACAAATAGGAAGAATCTCAAGAAACCAATTCTTCTTATTTCCAGGGAAATCAGTAGAATTTAAGAAGAAGGAAAAGTGGTAGAACTTTCTCATTCGTGGGAGACATGATAGTTGGAAGACTGGTACTATTGTCCCTGAACTGATGATGCAACCACAGTATTCAGTCATGGAACAATTGATTTATACTGGTCCCAAGAGAATTATAAAAGTTGGGGACCTGGGCCACTATCTTGGGACCTCCTACCAGCATGGGATGGGTAAAAATACCTCTAAAGAGCTAACAAGGAAGGCTTCCAAGACAGATGTCAACTTCTGAGGTGGTGTATCTAGAATGCTCTGAAGACTCAGCTAAGAGACAAAAGTCACTGACTGTGATAGTCATTGTGTGATGGGGTAAAGAAGGTGAAGAACTATCACATTCTTTTGACCAACATCAGTTTTGCAAGATGAGTAACTTCTGCAGATCTAGTGTACAACAACATGGCTGTAGTTAACAAAAATGTTTTATTGTATACAAGAAATTTGCTAAGAAGTTAGATCTGAGGTGTTCACGCCATAAAAATGAAAAGGAAATTGTAACTACGTGATGTAAGGAATATACTATGATTTCACAATAAATATATATATTCTGAAACACCACCTCATACACTTTAGATAGACACATTTTTTATTTTTATTATCAGTTTTCCTCAATACAGCTAGTAAAAAAGAAGGCAGTTAATCTAATTGATTATTATTAATGTTTTCTTATCTTCAACATTAAAACTAGAAGTTCTATGGACAAAAAAACAACTAATATGTCCTAGGTTACCTACTATTTCATGGGCATTGAACAAATGCTTTATGGACATTATCATTAATTCTTAAAGAAACATTCAAAGTAGGTGCTCATGTTCCCATTGTAGAGATGAGAAACTTGAGGCTGAGAGAGGAAATGTAATATCAGAGTTTGGTTTTCCCATAACAAACTCTGAGAAAAATATTCCAGCGAAAGCAGTTTATGGGAAAGTGCGGATCACACCAGTAGATGCTGGAGAAGTGGTACAGAAAAGGGTACACTATTAAACTAGTATCACAGTGACCAACGAAAGCTTAAAGCAAACAAAAAAATTGTAAGAAATGATGAAAAAGAACAAATTCAAATGATCCTACTTCAGGAAGGACAAAGTTAGAGTCTTCATAAATCAACTCTCCAGAATCACTGATTGAATGCTTTCTCTGTGTGACATGCACAGGTAACTTGACTTTCTCCAGTTGCAATACACGAGCCCTTAGGCACAGAGATGCAGATTCTGGCAAATGTATATTGGTCTGAATACACTGAGATCCAAGACACAGGGGTGGGATGATGAAATCTTAGTTACAATCTACCATTTGCTCCACACAGACCCAATCTTTGCTTCTTAAATGTGGTAAGCAACCACAAACTCTAGAAGGAAGACGAGGAGGAGAAGAAGAGGAGAAAGAGGAAGAACAGAAGATGAGAGGAAGAAGAAAGAAAGATGAAAGAGAGAAGGAAGGGAGGGAGGGAGGGTTGG